AGAAAGTAATGAAGAGCCATGATCGCCCATGTACTGAAGAGATATAGCACATAAAAATGCGAGGAAGAAGTAGATTCGTGCCTTTCTCTAAATAAGCGCAAACTTCCCAAATTGTACGCCCTGTGATTTGAACTCAAAAGAGAAACAGCGATTAACAGATATAACTAGTTTCTGTGAATGGATACCAGAACAGGGACAACAATGAATGGCAAAGAGTCAAAAAATGGATGTCAAAGATTGAAAAATTACTTAGAACAATAAAAGACAGGAAGACAGCCATAATCTGGTATTTTGATCTAATTTCGGCAAAGTAATGCCGTGATATTTTTTTAATGTTACGCAAAAAAATCAAATTTTCTAAAAGTTGTTTCCTAATGAATGAATTGTAATTGTCTTTAAATTATAACGTATAGATATGCTCTATAAAAGTTTATTTGTTTATTTGTCTCAAGCAGTTGTGTACATTTTCTCACTGATGCCAGTTAGAGCCTTAATAATATGCAAGATTTTGAATGCTGACAGGTTTTTTTTCACTTAGAAGACTGGCGCAGTACAGTATGTCTCATTCATATTTTCTATGCCCATTTGAAATATCTATATACGCTTGGGAATTATAAATAATTTGCTCTCTCTCTCTCTCTCTCACCCATGCGCGAACGTTCTTTTACTTTTTCTCTTTCCTTTTCCAGATCAGTTTCTTTTTCTTTCTAGTACTGTTATTTTTTTTCATCCTAGAAACCTTTATACAAACAGTCAATATTTTAAGGAAGGACATCGTAATGGAATTCGGAATAGAGAAACGTGTAATCCTAGTGATCCACAAAGGAAAATAAGAAGTATGAAAATAATTGAACTACCCAGCGTAGAAATTATGAAGACACTGAACGAGAAAGTAAACTCTTAAGTATATAAGAATAAGGAAAGTAGATTCGACCATGCAAAATAAAAATAAAGAAAAGGAAATGCGGAAAAAGTACCAAAGTATAAAACCCTGGACTAGATACATTAATTATGGCAACCACATTTTACAGAAAAGTACAAAGCATCAAAACAGAAAATATTGAACAACTAGGAAAAAACAAATGCACATATATTTTCAAAGATAAACAAAATAATTTTAAAATGAATGATATGGGCACGAAGTAAACATTTGAGAAGACTAAATTACATTTAACGCTAACCCTGAACTTAGAAAAAAAACTGTGAGTATTGTAAATAGATTATGCATATGCAACCCTTGCTCTCTGCCTATACGCCCTTACAACATTCACATTTTTTTTAATCCACTTAGACCTTATATTGGCTGAACATTATTAAAAGAAAGGAGAGACGAAGCCATTAAGACCTATCACTCGGAATAGTGCTTAGAGTCCTGACGTATTCAGGAGACTTGCTGTCACTTGATCGCCAGTAAAACCCGAAAGTTTTTAGTCATATTAATATTCATTCCTCATGTAATATAGCTGTTTTACTTGTTGAGATCTGGCTGCTTTATAAAAAAAATTAAAAATATATAAATGGCTGAAATCGAAAGTGAAATAATAATAATAATAATAATAATAATCGACATTAGAAATAAATCCTGCAACAAATTATTCGCAAATATATATAAAAATAGGCCCAACAGAGAAAAACAGCGATGCACCTGTAATTGTGCAAAGAATGTAAACAACAAATGACATTTAGCATTACGTAAAATAGTCTGGGGTTATGAAAAGCCTCTAACTGTCACCTCTGCGCTCCACCTCAAAGCAAAAAATAAAAATAAAAATGAATTTACAGGTGTGAACATTGTAAAGAAATTTGTCAGATTATTATGGGCCAGAAGACAACATGTTAGAGATAAAAAAAAAATATATATATATATACAAATAAACAGAAAAATAGCAGGACTTCGACGGGGAATACGAGGGTCAGAGTTGCGATGATAACTGGTGCACTTGGTAAAATCTTCAGAAACTTTAGAAGCGAGATTAAAGATTCGAACAAGGTAATGCTGTAATCAACGAAAAAAACTTTGAGATCTGTTGAAGGTTTGAAATAATAACTAAAACTAGTAAAGGAAAAGAAAGAAAAGTACTTGAAAATCGGTAATTAGCAAAACTGAAAACAAAGTCCTTCGCACGAAATCCGTTCTCGTCTACTTGCCAGCAGTTGTAGCAGTAAATGGTTTGCGTAAGGACAAAGGGAGATAACGCTATCGTTACTTTCTGACTACGTGTGATTTTTAATTGAATATTGCAAGCTTTGATTTAAATAAATTCTTACTGTTTTTTGGTAAAATAGATAGATAGATAGATAGATAGATAGATAGATAGATAGATAGATAGGATATCAAATGCTTTATGAATTTAAAAACAGCTTTTAACCTCATTAATATTAATAACTTCTTTGGGATCGATATATTCATGGGCTAACGAATAACAAACTTTATTGTGCTTTACATACAAAATTTCTCTTCTACACGTTTTCTTTCCGCCTCGTTAAGTGCCACTCCCATTAAGTTACAAGTATAAAATCAAATGTAATAAATTCCTCTAAGATTTTCATAAACGTAAACACAGAAATAAACTTGTTTATGACGGCAATTTTCGATTAAAAAGAATGAAATATTAAAGCATGTAAGCACTAAAATTATACCATTGAAATTGGTTTATCTGAACACTTAAAAATTTATCTCAAAACAACTCAAATTTTGAGGAAACAACCGCACTCGGCAGATGTTTTTCCAATAAACAGGAAAATGGAACCGGATTTCGCAGTGTGGCAAGAAATATAAAATAAACATATTCATAAACAACCGGGTTCATACACCGTGGGTTAATAATTAATAAACTAGCCGAGAATAGTAGTGAGTTCAGTTCACTTTGGGAGCCAAATTCTTATAGCATTGTATTTGGCTCAACTAAATGAGTATATAACAGTAAATTCTTGCATTTATAGATACTTACTAAGTTTAATGATGTAAAATAAAAATACTATATGGAGGTAGGAAGATTGTGTTGCGCCAATTTTCCAAATAGAGAAAATATGTTTAGTTTGAAAAAATCAGAAGCTAAAAATCTTAACTGTATTTAGTTCGATAAGATGAGAGCAAGTAGAAGAAAATTTTCTCCAAGCTTTTAAGTAGAAAGAGTTTGTCTGCCTTGAAAATCAGCATTCGAAAACCTAATTTCTTGGTTAAAACATCGACATCAGTTCGGAATGAGAAGTCGGTTAGTGTTCTTTATATTCATTACACTTGGGAAAATATCATTTCTCACCACCAATCCCAGCTAATAAGACAGACTGGGCTCTCTAACTGTAGTTGGCAATCAATAATGGAGAGAGGCGAAACTGAATTCCAAACCGAAAATCAAAAAATATATGAGGTAATAGGATATATAATTTTTTATATATCTGACTAATATGGAGTAACTGAAACAAAATGAGAAATCTTACGCCACACATTCGAAGAGACTACTTCAGACTAAACAATGTTGTTGGTGATGGAATCATATATAGAGGGAGGGATAGAAATATAACAAACATCAATTTAAATTTTACATCCAGAAGACAAAGATACAGGGATACTTAACTTTAAATTTACACACACACACGAAATTTAAACGTTATTATTAGTGAATACACGTATTTGAGTAGGCACTCCGTTTATATATTAAACAGTATATCTATTTATTTATTTTCACCTACTGTCCTGAATGTTCGAGAAATCGGGTTAAACTGTGGTTTCCTCTACCATGATAGACACAGGTTCAATCCGGCCGAAGAGTGAGAATTTTTCCTTCTTGAACATTCAGGCCGGTCAATCATAATGAATAAATATACTGTTTAAAATATAAACAGTGCAAGTATGGATACTCAAGTATGAGTATCCAGTAAAAATAACGTTTAAAGAGATAAAAATTTTCTGGATTAATAAAATCCATTATATATATATATATATATATATATATATATATATATATATATATATATATATATATACTTGACTCTCCCGTCAATTTCGACGTATGAGGATCTGACAGCTTAGTTGATTCAGTTACGAAATTTTGGCGATAATATTAAGTGATTTACAAAGGAGGCCACATATGGAGCAAGAGTGGGGATTGGGAGATGAGATCACTGTTAGATTGGCTGACCTTTTAGATCTTGCTCTCGCTTCTTGAAGATGATTCAGACAAGCAGATTGAAAACTGATGAGTCCACTAAAACACGTTGATCCCCATACTACCCACTCCAAGGCTAAGCGCTCAAGGGTGTTAGGTGGCATATTGACAGCTGACAAGTTGCTTTTCAGCTTGTCTTAGCCATGGGTGTCCTACATTCCTGTAGCCTTGATCTAACTGGCTGTACATTAGAATCTTGGGTATCCTGTCATCAGACATTCTCAAGACATGACCAGTCCACCGTAAATGAGACTGTATGAGAAAAGTCTCGATTCCTCCAACAATACACTTGTTAAACAGCTTTACGTTTATCTTGAAGGTTAACTCCACAGATTGCACGCAGACGGCTTTTATGAAAAACACCCAGCTGGCGTATATGGTACCTGTATGGAGTCCACGACTCTGAGCCGTACAAAAGGATGGCAAGTACAACAGCTCTGTAAACACAAATTTTTGTATCCAGTCGAATACCCCGTACATTCCACAAGTGGTGGTGAAGTTTGCCGAAAGCACTGGTAGCCTTAGCAATCCGATGCATGATTTCATCATCTAAAGTTCCACTGTAATTGATTTTGCTACCAAGATAGGTGAAAGACTTTACATAGTTCAGGGCTTTATCTTCTGCTTTCAATGGTCTCTCTGGAAATTTGTAGACTGGTGGTTTTTGTTTCTCACCACAGAATTGCTTCGAAGTAGGACAAGGGTGGTGCACAACTTCAGTTTTCTTTATGCTAAGTGTAAGACCAAATGCTTTACATGCAGCAGAGAAACGATTTATTAGAGGTTGGGCCTCCTCAAAGGATGTCGCTATAAGAGCAGTAACATCAGCAAACAACAAATCACAAATAATTTACGTACGAAGGTGGATCTTGGCTTTGAAGCGCTGATGATTGAAGAGGCCATCAGTTGTTCGAAACTGAAACTTGACACCGCTCTCTCTGTCTGAAAATGCGTATTTCAGCATCATTGAGAAGAAAAGGGCAAAAAGGACAGGGGCCATGACACAACCTTGCTTGGTGCCATTTGTGACATCAAAGGATTCTGACCTCATCCCATCAGACACGATATTAGCTTTCATTTCTTCATGAAAGGAGGTGATGACCTTTAGCATGTTTTCAGGGATGCCGAGTTTCCTCAAGACTTGCCAAAGAGCGTCTCGATTCACAGTGTCAAAGGCCTTCGTCAAGTCCACAAACACCATGTACAACTCCTGTTTTTTCACGCGAACCTTCTCTGCAACTTGACGAAGGGAAAATATCATATCAATGGTACCACGACCCGACCGAAAACCACACTGCGATTCAGGATAGATTTCGTCAACAAGGTGCATAATGATTCTGTTTAGAATCAGTCTAGCTAGGATTTTGCCTGCAATTGAAAGTAGTGATATCCCCCGATGATTATCACAGACACACCTGGAACCCTTGTTTTTGTAGAGGTGTTTGATAGAGGCGTCTTTATAATCCTGTGGGACACAGCCTGCCTTCCATATTTCCACGAAAAGGAGATGTAACTTTCCTACCCCTACCAAAACGTAACTAATAACTGATACATCAAAATACAGCGATAATGAACACGCTAACACCCCTTGTCTGGTTGAATTGGATTTCTCTGTATCCTTGGAAACGTGAATTATGATTTTTGCTGTGTCTTTAAAACCCATTAATTTTAAAAGTTACTCCAAAATTCGCTTGAGGATGAAATGGAACTAATGTCTTTAATTTAATTACAAAATTAAATTCGGACTTTCAGCTTCCATTTTTGAAACATGGTTAAAACTGTGTAGCGAAAAAACATATTTTTAAATCAATTAATTTATAATATTAATGCTCTGTAAATTTACATTGAGCACTATTTTGTAAAAATAAAATATCTATAAGAACACCGGATTATATATCTTACTGTTCTTTCTTTATATATATATATATATATATATATATATATATATATAATTATCTATTTAAAAAAATGATTCCAAATCGCTACATAAGAGGTCTCATGTTTCAAAACAAGAGCCGAAAACTTCAATATAATCCTTTAAATTAAATTGAGTTGAAATTAAAAGGGCTCCGTTCCATCTTCAAGCGAAATTTTTATTGAATAACGTTTATCTGAAATTTACTTGTTTTAAAATTTAAATCAAAATCACCATGGTAACAGCTAGGGCGAATTGTCTAAAATGGGTAAGCAGAGTGTAGGGTGTTAATGATAAGTAGCGGTATAGAGATACTTTCAAGTGTCAAGTCGGGGGAAGGTGAGGGTGTCAAAAAATGAAACGAAGATGTATTAAGCTTTCGTCAAGTTGGCTTGTCTATGGAGATTTATTTATTTATTTTATTTTATTTTTATTATGAAAGGGAATTGTGCATATAAAAAGAAAAACTTTCGTAACGTTTGTTTTTTTTTGACGACTTCATAAAGGGTTGTCTTTTATGTAAGGTGTTTAAACTACTAATTTGGGCTATGGATTATGAAGGGTGTTATATTTGTTGTATGCAAGTTTGTAGTTAATAATTTCTACTATGAATCTGATGAATGGGCTATTTGTTAAACAAGTTATATAATTTTTTTTTTTTCAAACCAAAAAATCTGATGATGCCTACAAAAAACCCGTTAACTCGTGTCTATTATTTAATAGATTATTATTTTTAGAAGTTTAATAATGTGCAGTTTTTCATGGAGGTACAAAGGGCATGGGTCATCCCAAGCTTTACATATTCTAGCCTTGTCAATAATTTTCCATTTAACTTTTGGTGTCTTATTTGTTTCCTTCAAAATGCCAAAATATTTTGATAGTGAAGTCTGGTTTCTTTTGTTTATATTATTAAAAACGAGCACTTATGCTGCCTCCATCTATCTTTAAAATTATTCTTCGTGGACCCAATGTATATCATATTAGTGCTAGGGCTCTCTGTGGATGAAATAATGCATTGGTATACCACTGAATTAATACAACATTTATTTTCTAATGGGCAGTCTTCTGGGTTTCTACAGTTACATAATTTTTCCCTATTATCATCTGATTTTTAGTGTAGAGTTTTTATTAATACTGTTTTTTGGCATGGGGGTTTGTTCAAGATCTTATTATTGTGTTTTTTTTATTATGCGTTCAAGATTATCAGAGCAGCTGTAGCTCAATTTTAGGGTTGTTCTTGTTGAATATATTACTAAACTTACTATTGGTGGGGAAGTGTTTATTAATTAGAGCTAAGAATTTCTGTCCTAGTTTAATACTAACCCTTTGGTTGAACGGAGGGGTGTACTATATGATATTTCTTTACCTGTTTTTTTTCCCATGTCCAGTGCAATTTTCTTTGTAGTTAATGTTAGC